TGGAAAATTAACGACTCACAAGCCCCATAACTGAACAAAAAAAATTTTTTTAAGCGATCAGCAAAAAAAAGGTTGAAGGTCATTAACAGATAGATAGGGACTTGGAAACATATAAATTCAGAAATTGCCTGTACATACATCTTACTGAATAGTATTTAAATCCATTAAATTTTTCAAGAGGACAAGAAATAAAAATTATTAGGATATAGTCGAATACGGCTCAAGGAGAGTATCACTTTTTACTGATTTTGCGTTGGTAAGCCTTACTTAAAACCAGTATTTTTGTTGAATTTTACATTTCTATCTTTAAAGATTAATGCTGACGAAGTTGGAAATAATAGGTGATATAAATAAAAATTCATGTATGTTTAAAAATCATAAGTATAATTATTTTAAAATTTAAAAAAATAACAATGACATGCAACAATTGACAATTTGTGTCTGAATAATAAAAATTTTAATCTAAAAAAATAATAATTCTAAACAACTTTCCTTAATAACATATTTCTGTACTGTTAAAAACAAAGACAGTTTATTCCCGAACGATTTTTATATTTACCCATTATNATTTTATATATATATATAAAAGTGATGGAGATGTAAAATGGCAATTATTTACAAAAATTCATGAATAGGGATACCCCATATATATTAAAACTATAAACATCCTTCATTTAACACAGAACGTCAAGAACTTAAAAATACTAAATAAAAAAAATACACATTCTGCATCGAACAAAACAACCTTATCTAAAAAATCTAAAAGTTATGACTTAGGTCCACTTATGGAATTTGATCTTCACGTTAATTTTTCACCTGACTACAAATTACAATTATACAAAAAAATGTCTTTTATTTTACACATCGAGAAATTGTTGTAGTCAGTCAACAAAAACGCAAACTAAATTAGTGAAAAAATGTCCCTTGGATTGAGCAATTAAATAAAATTCTTAGACAAATGTTTCCGAGTTGCCAAAAACCATCTCTCATTTTGATGAAATCACCCTAACGTCTCTTTTAACTAATCTGCTATTAGTAGAGTGTGCAATGTACCACCTCATCTGTGAGTAAAAAAACATTCACTTTTATTGAAACAAGTCGAGGACTGGTGATCGTGATCTTTAAAATGTCAAAATGTACTTTTAACGGGACTTTAATACAGACAGTCACATGGGAAGACTTAAGTAGGTCACTATTGTTTGAGCCATTTTCATGTGGCTGCCCTAAGTAAAAGGAGACAGAGATACTCTCAAACCCATGTCAATCAAATTTATTTAATCAAAACAGAAGAAGTCCTTTTAACATCATGACAAGTTTGATAAAACTAATCTAAATCTTCCCCTTAATGATTTTATTTTAAATTAAATGAATGGTGGGAAGAATACAAATAAAAAGGAATATCTTTTAGGGTCACCATTAAAGTAACTTTTAGTTATTTTAATAAGTTAAATTAATTTGAGGTATGACAGTAAATTTTGACGCGTTCATTGAATTATCTAACAAAGTTGGCAGATATGCCAACAAAAAACAAAAATGGGATGTATTACCTACATGCTTTTCAAACAAATCAGTTGTTTTTTAACAAACTTATGTATTTATTATAATACAAGTAAATAATAAGTTTGTTAAAAAAAAAGACATTCCTGTGACAGATTTGTTAACGTTTTTTATATATATAACATTTTTTAACTGCGTTTGGTAGTGCAAAGTTAAAATTCTTCATTTATTAAAATCAGCGAATGTACCACATTCTCCATTTACCACTATTTTAATCTGATATGTATTTATTGGGATTAAAAACGTTTTCTGTAGTTGCACCCTTGGAAAACATTTGTCTGTTAAATTGAAATAGAAAATAAACGAAAACATTCCACTTAACCTTTTTAGAGTATATATACATATTAATAGCACCAAGACTTTTCTTCTTTTTATTATAGATATGAAATTTTCATCGTATTTATAACACAATTTTGATAAGAAATTGAATTAAAAAAAAAAATACTAAGTAGCGCTAAAACTTTATTCAACACAAACTGAAAATATTCCTAGAATCGTCAAGATTATAAACATATTTACCTACGACCACTACTGTAAATACTTAAAAATACACCGTCTGCGATCAATGTAAGATTCCTACAAACAGTATTGTATTGACTGTTGCTAGGCGGTTGCTATGAAAAATGTACGATTTTTTTACCAAGCTGAGCGATTTTTTTACCGTACGTAATAGGAATCTTACATTGATCGCAGACGGTGTGTTTTTAAGTATTTACAGTAGTGGTCGTAGGTAAAATGCTTTTTACAACACTTATTACGTAATATACTATTGAACCACAATGCAATTATTCGTTTTAGTAATAGGACGCAAGAGATTTTTTAGTCCTAGTTCCTGGTACCAGTGGGAAATTAATTTGTCCTTTATTTGTATTTTAATGGTTTTTGACAATTTATATCTATAATAAACAGACACAAGCACTGCAAGATTATACTGTATTTACTCTACATATGTAAAAATCAAAACCATTTTGTGACAGTAGCTTCTGCCAAGAAAGGTGCATTATTTGAGATTCTTGTACAAGTATGTATTATATGCCTATGAAAATCTGTTAATTGTTTAGAAGTACACATGAAGAGAGCCATCAATATAAATCTGAAAATGTATACGAAATGCACGTAATCCAAAAAATATATATCAGCAAAGTCGTTAGGTGAATGTCGTGCCTCTTTAAAATCAGTTGGAGTAATACACACACGAGATGGATGGCTAAGCAATTTGGATGGCTACAGATATCACGGGTGAAATTTCTGTTTTCTGTTCTTTTTCTACTTTGTTTGTATCAGCGTTTTACATTTGCATCGTAACTACCAAGCCCGTCCAGTAAATTAGGAATCAGGTAAGACCTTAAGCAATTATGCAGTAAGACCCCGCTTAACGCTGTTTCGTTTAGCACTGTTTCGGTTTAGCGCTCTTTTATTTCAACCCGGGGATTCCCCGAAATCGCTCGCACCACTACGGGGATTCCCCAAAATTGTGCGCAGCGCTAGGTTTCCAAATATGTACATAACATATCCGAATCAGTGTAGTGTTGTGTTTCTTGTTTGGTGCGGTGCTGTACGGACGCATTTTTATCAGTTTAAACATTTGTTGACATTATTATAAGTATAAATTTATATAATACTATAACGATTAATACAGTGACAAATATTATGATCTTTAGTTTTTATCATGGGTAATATTGGAAAACAAGACGGAAACAGAACAAGAAGAAAAACAATTTGTTGAAAATGATCCAAATTTTGACAGGAGTTCAAAAGCAAGACGGGGTGTTATAGATGCTTTTACCACTTATCAACAAATAACAGAACGCAAAAGGAAAACGCAAACTACATTAGATGCCTTCTTGACAAAAAGGCAGAAAATTGGAAACACAGAATAGACTGAATGATCTGAACTGACTTAGAATTTTATTTGTTTTTATAAGTAATATTGGTTTATATTGTTTTTATTTTTGTAAGAAATAAATGTTTGGTTTTATTTTTATTAAAAAAAACATAATTATTAAATTTAATACCTAACCAATTTTCTATCCTTCTTCTCCTAACCCCATTATTTACATGTTAAGATAGCCTCGTTTAGCGCTGTTTCGCATTACGCTCTATTTTGATGGAACGTATCCTACGAGTTAAGCGGGGTCTTACTGTATTATTATATTTTTCCTCTCGCGGTATTTTCTTTCAAGGAATAACTAAAATTGACAATTGCATAAAAAGTTAGGTCAAGAAATTTAAAAATAATGTGTAACAGTTAAATTAATAAAAATAATCTTCCTTGGCAAATGCAAGGTGGACCATAGTATATTTCTATATGATTAAAATCAAAATTGTTCATATCGGCAGGACAAAAGGTATATTACACACACAACATAAATATCAAGTCATATAAAAATTCTCCATATGACAGCTGTAACAGTAAAAAAACAACGGCATTTTATGATTGGTCCAACACAGAGTAAAACAGGAAAAGTTGAATAAATTTATTAATCCGATAGATATAGTCTGAAAGACGAGATATTTTCAATTTCTTTAGACGTAGTAGCCCTATCTCTCTGTCTTATTTACACACCGAAGTGTCGAGCTTAGTAATAAATTCTGTCTTATACATCTGGCGAGTTAATTTACACCTAATCAAAAAATTTTAAACAATTTGTAACATTCTGTATTAAAATACAAAAGTATTGAGTTTCCATAAGCTTTTTTGGCATTGGTCACAACTGAAATACTGATAAACATCACCTTGGATATATTTTAGGATTACTGAGATTGCGTTTCGTAAAATTTTTATATTGCCCACTGAAAATTCAGCTCTTTTAAGTGTAAGGCTTAGTGGACAATATAAAAACGTATTTGCCTATATGTATATATTATATTGTGCGTTTCTACCCTAACAGTCCAAATTAGATTAGTTAAAAGTGATTTCTTGTGCACAACATTTTTGTGTATGAAAATCAAATATAAAATTATTCAGGATATTAAAATTATTTATATTTCTTTTTTTGTATAAAATATTGCACTAATGATTGCTACAAAAAAAAAATACTTAAGATATATAATAACATTAATTGTTAACACTGATTTTAGTAGTAGATATATTTTTACTTCTCAGTTCGGCGTAGAGAGCATTCTATTGCCAAACCTTTCATGTCTAAGTCGTATCCTCATAAAAATTTTGCAAAAGGAAACGACAAACCCTTTACTCAAAAGTGTTTAATAAAATATCAAGTCATGACAAATATAAAAATACAAGCTTTGGGAAAAAAATGCTCTTCGCAATATTCTGTGAAGCTGACACACTAAATCGATATTTACAGACACCATGAAAATGTGGAAAAAAAATTGTAGCGCCAAAACTGGGATACTATAAAAAAATAGCTATAATGAGGTCGTTCTTATAAAATGTATGTAAAAATGTATATATATAATATATATATATAAGTAAACCAGTTCACATTATGAAAAATTTAATTTAACAAATCTTTTTTTTATGTTTATTAAACTTATAAATTTCCAAAATTCGTTAATATACCTAGCAGTTATTTGGGACTGCCTATCAGTCTTTGATATTATAATTGTTCTTCTTGTATGTTTCGGAGCTGTTGTCATTGCAAATTTTAAGTTGAATATCTAGCGACTCCCTACTACTAATAATTCATTTTTTAGTGTAAAATATAGATGTCCATATAAATAACATTTCCAGGCTTTCTAGAAACTTTATTTAAAGAATTTGCGTCCAGGGCGGAAAAATTAACGAAACCACCAAAGTGAATCAAGATTTTGCAATTTGCAACAACAAAGCTGGATTTTTCGCACCACGTATATCTTTTTGTTGGCCACACTGTTAAGTCACTAATTCTAACAATCACACTTAGTATTTCAGAAAAGACATCTTGAAATTGTTCAAAAACGTTAAAAAATGCTTTTAACTTATATCGCCTTATACGAACAGATTTCTATTTATCGGCAGTGAATTCCTGGAACAAACACACTAAGTAAAAATTATCACACATTATTCACATGTAGCAAAAAAAGACCCGTCATAAATGTGAATTTAGAAATTATTATTTTTTTTTACTGAAATTACATAATTACATGTAAAGGCTTCAAATTAATATTTTAACATTTTTTTTCTATGTCAAGGCTTTAAAATAAAGAAAAAGCTTACCATTATTATGAACGATGGTCTAATCTAAGACGGTCTTCGACAATTTCTGATATACCAATATTCGGATTTGACAATATCTGGAATTCGTCAAAGTCCAACTGACCCAATCCTTCCCTCAAGGTTTCATCAGAAAAAAATTCGGATTCTAACTGCCTAAGACTGTCCTGTCTCGAAACATCTCCGTCTACTGAAAAATCTGAAAAGAACAAAAGCAGTTTTCACGACGAAATTTGAGATAATAAACATGTATGCATTTCAAAGGTAGACTCCGAAAAAAAAAAGGTCCATATTTAAAGTTATAGTCTGTGTAACAAGTAGTTGCATCAAAGCAAACATCTCATCCTATTAACGAATTGTACGCTGACATTGTTTACTTCTATCTCAATGTTAGAATCAATTGTGTATTCTTTTTTAAAGTTGCTAAACAAAGACTTCTAATCGCAAACTTCAACAAACTACATCATTTCTTACAGCTCAACACTTTGGTGTGTAAATAAGAGAGAGAAGTGAAAAACTCATATCGACATACATATAAATCTAAAAACATCTTGTCGTCTGAGCTATATCTATCAAATAAATAAATTTACACTGCGATGGAGCAGTAATGAAGTATTAGGTATTAAACGATTTTGTTCTAACTCTACAAAAAGCATATTGAAAGATACATGCATAAAAGAAATCAACTGTTAGTTACAGCTGCTGCACTGAGTTTTTTAATTGTATGTAGTTGGTAATGAACAATTTCGATTACAAAGGAAGAAAAATAATAATATGCTATCAAATTTGAGTGAAAAAAGTTTGTGTTCAAATTACTAGATTATTCTTTCCAAATAGTTGATAATGTAAAAATGGGATTACTAAATTTAGTAGATGTGCCAAAGTTAAAAAGGAATTCAATAATTTACTAAAAATCCAAAAAAAATCCAGACCTTGCACAACTACATAATATTTCGCATCATTTATAGGAAGGAAATACTGAAATGTTGCACTTTTCACTAATAAAAAGGTGTTTGGTCGAAGGAGACCACCACAAAACTCATTGTAAGGACACAGATTACAAATATATGTCGCGATCCACCTTACTAGCAAAAAAATTAGAAGACGGGTGTATTTTAAGTTAAATTATTGTTCAATTTCTTGATGACGTGTAAAACAAAAATAGGATATAACATTCGTCAATGTCTGGGTAATTCATAAAAAATATAACCTCTGCATTTGGAAAAATTACCAGAGGAACTCCTCACCTGTCAGTATGATTTCAGGTAATCCCGTGGAGTTCTGAGTTGTGTGCAATCCTGGCGAAGTCGAGGGATACATTTGTTGCGAAGGTGAGGTGCTGTAGTAGCCCGCATCCGGGGTCATTTCCATGTTTCCCATGGAACTTACCTCTGGCAGCGTAGGGGGTGGATGAGATTGTGTCATTTGCTGTGCATTTGGCGACTGGTCTGCGTACATCGTATTAGGTGGATTGTCCATCTGATGTAACAAAACAAAATATTTGAAAGTGCTACACCGAAGTAGACGTCTGCTTATTAATGTATCCCTGTTGTAAATATTTAATATACAAAATACATATCAAATGAATATTTTCTTTTCTTTAGTGATCAAATTATCGATGCAAATAGAATTTCTGTATATGTTTTGTACAAGAATAATGTCAACTGAAAGAAAAAATGTGTTGTGTTCAAATAGCTGTAAGTACATATATTTTTAGAAGACTCCTTCAAAATGAGATAGATACATTAATAACTTTGATAATATAAACCTAATATGCTCTAAATTTTCTAGAAGATAACGAATTGTTGTAATTTAGAACATAAAAGTTAGATAATGGTCTTAAATAAAACTGAAAGGAAAAAGCACTATTTCTAAAATGTAAGGGAATAACATAAGTAAACGAAACAAAGTAAAAATGCACATGCTGTACCAATCCAATGGGATGCACCTATATGAAATAATGTATGATAAAGCGGCATGCTGAAATGGTTGAGCTGTTTAATGAAACCTTGTTTACTAAAACACTTAAAACATAAATTCAAAACAATAGAGACTAAGCAGAAGTCGAATGTAGAGATATTCATAAATTTGTAGAAGTATCCCAAAACTAAATGTGAAAATTTTATTACAGCATTGGTAATGAAATTTGTTTTAATCTGGTTTCCCTCATATTTGAATAAATTATAGATATTATACTTACTTGCATTTAGAAAAATACAACAAATTATATTTCAAATACAAATTTAAATACAGTGCCGCCTCTTTAATCTGAACACCACATTGTCAGGCATTGTTCGTATTATCGAATCATTCGGATTATCGAACATACTATAAAGATTTGTACATATGTATATTATTATGTAAGTACATACACATTTTAATATAACAATATAATTATAAATCATAAAAGATACATACAACTTATATAAGGTAAAACATAAACATGTATGTAATTACATATACATATCAGGGTGGGTAAAAAAAAATATGACTATTTTTTTTTACGTTATACTCTGAAAAATAGGTTGCTAGTCACCTCTAGAAAATTCTCTCAAATTATGAGCTCTCTTATGATTAGTCGATAAAATAAAGCATTTAAAAGATATTCATCGTCAAACTTCAATGCACGCCAATTTTAACAGTTTTTGATTAATAATTCGGAAAATTTCAATTTAGTTTATTAGTTTTAGGAAAATTTATACAAAGAGTTTCTATGAACAGAGAAAACTATTAACTATTTTATATTATTTATAAAGAAAATTTTTTACAGTGAAAGTGTACGGATATTTTATAAATGTTTGAAATTTTATAATACTTGATAATTAAATAAAAAAAATTTTTAATAACAAATTGAACATTTTTTTTCTTTAAGATTTATACTTTTCAGAATAAATTTCTGACGAAATCGTTATTTTTTCCAAGATTTAATGAATCATTGACAGTCAGAAATAATGCACTAATTTTTTTTCAATGTAACCAAACATGCTTACGACTAAAAAAAAAGTAGAAAAATAGTTTAAAACATTTCTCTGTTCATATTTTTATAAATTTCCCTGAAACTCATAAACTAAATTGAAATTTTCCGAATTATTAATCAAAAACTGTTAAAATTGGCATGCATTGAAGTTTGACGATGACTATCTTTTAAACGCTTTATTTAATCGACTAATCATAAGGGACCATTTTTGTAGAGCAGTTAATTTCCTACAAAACTATGGATTGCGCATTTCATAATGATTTTTTGTTAACGAGTTATAAAATTCATAAGCAAAACGGAAATTTGTCTTAAAATAATCAAACTTCAACCTTTAATATCTTTTAAACGGTGAGGTTTACGAAAAAATTGTAAGAGACCTTTTTTGTAGAGCGTTCAATTTCCTACAAGTATATGAGGAGAGATATTTTTAACGAACATTTGATAGAGATATTAATTTTTTTTTCTAATACTGAGGAAAAAATGGAAAACTGTAAAGCGGAGAACCTTCCTATTAAAATTAAGAGCTCATATTTGGAGATAATTTTCTAAAAGTGTCTAGCAACCTATTTTTCAGAGTATAAAGTAAAAAAAAGTCAATTTTTTTGACCCACCCTAATACGTATATGTATTATTTTCCGCTTTTCACATTTTATTTTTCTTATTTCCAAAAAAAACTCCAAAATTGTTACACAAAACACGACACGCAACAGGTTCTTCGTTATCGGCAAACAAACTGACTACCGACTACGCGCGTACCCGTGAAACGATCTAGTTTTTTCTTGTCATCGTTCAGATTTGGCCGTTTGGATTAGCGTGTGATCAGATTAACGTGTGTTCGGATTAAAATTGTTACACTGTTCTGTTCTGGGACACAATTTCTTACATCTATTCATTTGTACATTAATTTTCATTTTCATTTTTGTCCAAGGATTGTAGAGAAATTGCAACCCTTACACAAATAGCTGATGTAAATTGTACTTAAGCAAAGCCACACAGAGAACAACTAGTAAATCAATCAAAATCGGCAATGAAAATTGTTTGGAAATGAAACAACTGAAGATATATAAAAACTCTCGCCATTAATAATGTTAGTACCTGCAACTGCGCACTCCAGGTGCAGCCTGACTCCATGAGGCTGGCTACCAGCTGTGCCCAGTCCTAACAACACATGCACACTATTATCCCTTACAAACACAATGATTCGGAAGCCCTAGATTGTTAAATTATCGGTCTGCAATATGATGAAATAAAAGCAATTTGGAGCACGATTAGGAACTTAAAATACATTGAAAAAAATCTTGAGCTGTAAGATTCTTCTCTGTGTACCAAAAAGTAGTACCTATTTACTATACTTCAAAAAATCCAATAAGGTATTATTTCATTAAAATACAGGATGTTCAAAAAACGTACAATAAATTCTAGACATAACAGAATATTAAGAATTTTTTTTGTATAAACCAAGCGACTTTCATCTTTTGTTTTCAAGATAGATAGTGCTAAATTATTATCTTTTTAATTTGCTAGAGGTATATTTTGAGAGCCTTTAACTAGCCTGATGTGATTAGTTTTTAAATAAATAAAGTAAACCAAGAATATTTTAGGATACGACTTTTTTGAGGTTAGGTTGGGAGTAGGGATGTGCGATACAGAATCGATACTCAAGAGTATCGATACTTTTTCAAGCGATACTCGATATTTTGAATCGATACTTTTACTACCGATACATTGTGTATCGATAATTTTTTGCTCGGTATCGCAATATTCGATCCGCAATAGTTTACAGTTTGCAGTGACTATCACGATATCGATACAACCATAAACGACATCTAGCGACTAATAGACAAATTCAATGTTAGGACTTGGATCTTCGATTTAAGGGTCTTATAAAAGTTGACTGCTAATCTGCTGATTTCTGCATTTAAAAATCTATTAACTTATGATATATCCCATAGCAGTAAAATATTTATCTATAGTTGGAACATCTGTCCCATCAGAAAGACTCTTTTCGAAAGCAGGGCGCATTATGACTGAGAGTCGTAATAGGCTAACGGGAAAACGCTTGTCAAAATTATTATTTTTTAAATTCTTTACCAGCAGAAATATGGAATATTTAATTATCTCTATCTATCTATGTTAAATATTTGAGAATTATTTACTTTTCCTTTGTTATATATTTTATTTATGTTTATTTTATGCATGCATGTTAATATTGTTATTTTTTGAATATTTTGTTAATAAAAATTTTTGAGAAGCTATATATGTGTTCTATTTTGGTTATAAATTATAATCATTAAGCAAAGAAATATTTATAAAAATAGCTTTTCTTACCAACTTATTCATTATGCCGGATCGGCTCGCTGGATCGATATTTAGAGTATTGATATTTATTGTTCCGATATTTAGGTGGATCGATACTTTTGCTGCGATCCGGTATCGATTTTAAAAATTGCCATACGTAATTCATTCATAAATCATTTAAAATTCCAGACTGATTTGATTAGTGTACTGTCATCTAAATATGAGTTATTGCACAAGATTTTCCCCCATTCTAACGCAGATTTGCTATAAAATGGACTCAAATTACTTTTTGTTATAAATAAATTTGCAATTTGCCGGTTTTGAACAAGCGGCATTGTAAATTATACAAATTTTTTTACACCAAAAAGTAATTTGAGTTTCAAACTAAGACCATTTTATAGCAAATCTGCGTTAGAATGGCAGAATGTCTGTTATTTGTGCATTAATTTATACTTAAGACAAATTGTGTAATAAAAATCTATAAAAATTATATATATGTTAACGGTGGTGTACTTTAGGGGTTCTTAAACCCTTACATGATCCCTACTGCGGACTATCTTCCTACTTAAGGCATCTGCGATCTGCGACTACGCAACTGCTACGAAACCACTCGATGGCAGGCGGACGAGATCGACTAGAAAAGTGGGGAGAAACACTAGTCGACGTAGAGAGACGTAATGGGGCGGAGTAAATTAAATGTGACGTAGTTGTAAAATAAAATAGGTATTGTAAAAGGACCTAAGTGGTATTTATTCGGGGTAAAAACCCTCTCTCATTTAACATATATATATTTTTTTTTTCTAAGGCAAACATTGTTCTTTTCATTGGTTCAGGATGAATTTTAAATTCGTTAAACATATTAGTTAATTATTCTTCCGAGTCTTTCACAGCATTTACTTCGTCTTAACTTTTTGTTTCATAAAATTTACCGTTATTAATTTTTTTTAATAAGCTTATTATTTTATTTTTTGTAAAAATTAAGTACATGTATATCAAAGCAAGAAATACAAGTATAAAACCTGACTCAACTTTTGTAATTTTTCTAAAAAATGATAAAAGATTTTTTGTGAAGAGTTAAAGTATATCATAAAATAATGTACAACCTATAATATTCACATAACAAACGTTCCATATAATTTATCAGATCGGATTGTACAGGGACTTTTAAAATTTTGGCCCACCAAATCTCAGTACGTATAGATACGTTGATTATAATATAATAATTTTTCGATGTTGACATAATTCCATTAAAAAAAATTACTTCAAAGCCCTGATCTAAAAGATGTTATTTTGCAATACCCTATCACATCTAGAATTTACAGTATGTTCTGAAACACCCTGGAATAATTTGGTTTGTATTTTTTAACAGTGCTCAAAGGGGCAACAAAACATGCGAAGCCGTTTATTAAGAACTGCATTAAATGCACCTAATCTGAATGTGTATTACTATTAAAGTGGAAGGTAACGGGAAATGGCACTATTGCTAGTTCTATTTCGATCCAAAAAATATTTAATACAATTATAAATGTTTTTCAGGATAACTGTTTTTCGACATATAAAGAGCTCGTCTTCAATCTTGTAGTTTATTTTACAATTCTAAAGCTTCCTGAATTACCTCAAAGCTTTCTGTTAACACATATGTTTTTTGCTAACACACATAACATCTACACCTAATCTGCATAGGATTATTTTGTGTGAAGTGAAAATTGTTTCAATTAAACAGCGCAACAAACACTGAATGGCTGGCGACAGTCGACGATCAACGATTAGTCCTATCTACCGTTACCTAGCTATGAGTGTCATCCATTGCACATATATATGTATGATGAAGTGTTATGACGGAAGGATGGGGACCTAGTAATGGGAGTACTTACTTCTCTTTGTTCTTATAATCGGAATACTAATAGAGTCGCTTGAAATGATTTCATCATTTTTTACAAAACTGACTGCACAGATAGAAACCATCAAATCATTGACAACATCACAGTTCTCAGATAAATTGATGAATGTTATAATATTATGTTAACACAACGTTTCTGAAACACTGGAAAGCAAACAAAGAAAATCTAGTTTTCTGAAGATCACACATTTTAGACAAGCAGAAGATTTTCCTCATTTCCATATCAGCTAATATAATCAGGATTTGGAGGAGCTGCTCTTAACAGAATCGTACTTAATTTAAATGTTTTTTACTATTCAAAACAAACATAAATCTGTTTACCACCTTTGTGTTTTTAGCCTTAAATTTAAGTTAACTTTATGCTACCAAAATTTGATCATTGTACAGTCTACAGTTCACGAGTTCCACTTCCTTAAACAGTCCTTTGACGGCAGTAAACTTTGAATGGTTATTTTCCTTGAACGTATTACTGATAGCTGTTTTACATTGACAATTTATTGATGAATAAATTGACGAAGTTCTTCATGAATTAATTCACGAATTTATTGGTAAACAGTGTGGTTTTACACTGCTACAGACTTTGTCAAGTTTTTTGACGTATGAATCAGTTCTACCAATAAATCAAAGCAAATAAATTTCAAAAATGTCACCTTTCCACTCATAATTGTAGTGATACAACAGCGGTACCGTTCTGACACATATTATATAAATATTAGTTTTTGTAAGTAATAAATCAGTAAAAACAATGCAAAACTAGCACGCCACACAATTATTTCACATATTCCAATAACATAACCTCATTACTGATCTGAGGCAGGAAATCTGTTGGGTTGGTACTCCTAAACTTCACGAAGAAATTGACGAAAATTAGAACATGCTCTAATTCGTCAAGAACTTGATGAATAAATTAATCAAGTTATTTGACAGCTGATTCGGTGCATTACACTTGTCCAATTTCTTGATAAAGCGACTTCATGAATAATTGACCAATAAATTGTCAATGTAAAACAGCTATTATATACTACACTGGATGTAGATTTAAGTGGGAGTCAGTTTTTTAGTGGTAAATAGTATGTCTTTGATGAAATATTAATACGAAATATATTGTGTTGCAACATATTTTCTGTGGATTTATTATATTTACGTAGTGCGGTTCTGTTAGGAGCTTCTTGTCCCTGAACTCTATCATGTGAATCATTAATTTGCGTTCAGTCCTTTATTACTTCTATTGGAGGAGTAAGTACAAAGCTGTCAGCCTCAAACAGACTGGTTATGACATGAGGTAGGATTAAATGCCGAAACACAATTTATGTCTGTTTATTTAATACAAAAATCTAGTTTAAATAAAAATATTTTGCAAAACAATATTTGTTTTACTTTTCGAAACCGATAAAATACTTTTATCAAATCAAAGATTTGAAGATTATTGATATTTTATTTACAAATGTAATAACAAATTTTGCCAAATAATTCTTAGGAAATAAGTTCGTAATTTTAATAATAACCCCAGGATACTACTGATAATATTAACTATTTGAATTCAAAAAAATTAAAACAATACACATACAAATAAGTACAGTTTAGTAAAATCCCAATTTTCTCATATAAAAGGAGAATTAAATTTGACATTTTTCAGGATAAATTTTTTGTATTTTGTAGATAGCCAAAAAGTAGCTAAGCTGTCATGGTGCATTTTTCATTTTTTGTACATATTCCCATGATGACGAACAACTTTTTCATTTGTGAAAGTTTCGTATCTTCATAAAAGGATTTTTTATTCTGTTTGTTGAAGATTACTGCAATTTGTTATTATGTAAATATTACTACTTATATAAGACAGTGAGACTCGCTTTATTATGTTGCTAGGAATATTAATATTGACTGCCAGTAAGAAAATAAATTGAATCTATGCAGGACACATTTTGCCCGTTATAAATTTACTACATCTTTCATGAACATTTGTAACACAAGTTTCAACTATATACATTATTTCGATGTTTGAAATCTATGCAAAATTCCTTGGAAATTATGTTATTATAAATGGAATCTTTTTCCTACGTATATCATAAATTATTTGTAATTCAACTGTTTTATGATACAAGTCAATATGTTATAAATTTGTTTCATCGATATATCGTATAGATCCACAACACACTTAACTTTATATTGAATAAATCAAGATATTGAAGTATAGTTTCCGCTTCTGAGATGTTTGAACTACTTTTTGTCATCTATCACTCCAAAAGTGCCAAATTTATCTCGCCCTGTACAAAGATATGTTGTTTTTTACACCCTGCCTTCTATTATTTAAGAAATTTTGCAAAACTCAAAATGTGTTTCAGCTTTTTGAGGGTTGTTAGTTTGAGATTTAGTGAACATGATATTGCATAACAAACATGACTTACCACTCCCTGATAGCAAACAAATAATAATATGTTAGAAATGTTTAAGCTTTTCTAGACAACTGAATACTACTATGCCCATTAGCTAATAAACGGTTAATAATGACGGAACATTTTTTTCTGGAGGCAGTTGTGAATAGATATACGTTTCAATTTTTTCCTGCTTATTATTATGAAAACAAATCAGGCAAACATGAAAGTCCTCCGGATGTTTGACATGAGTGCTGGCATTGGCATCGAACACCAGCCAGAAACTACCTGAAATATTCATTAGATTCAAATCACCGTATCAACCGTGTATCTACATCATCAAACCAAACCTCATGTTTGTTATTTCTCTCCCTATCTTTCAATGAAATTTACATGAAGAATGCCACAATGTCAATGTCTAGGTGTTCGAGTGACAATGATGCTGATGTTAATAATTGCATCCCTCTCATCGCACCAAGGAACTTACCATGGACAACTGCTCGAAATGCTGCTGAAAGTTAACCTGGTGCTGGTTGAATATGTTGTAGTTGTTGGGCAACGGACTCGGAGCCCCAGGACTGCAAGGCGCAGAATGACAATCGCCGGGGCTCGGGGACGACTGTGGGCTCGGTCTTGGACTTCTGTAGCCAGCTGTTTGCTGTAACTTTAAACGAATGTTATATTTTTGACAAATTTTAACTTATTAAGTTATTTATATGACATAGTTTTAGTGTTTTCTCTATTTATTGGTATTTTACCACCTGTGGAAAAAAGCCTAGATAAAGGAAGTCTATGTTAAAAATATCAGTCAAGGACTACTTTTATACAACATACCGTGGTAATTACTATGGATATTTTCTTATCCATAAAGACAATATATTTATTTTTATCAATTGCGCACCCAATAATTTTTATTAATAATGCTCACCCTGGAGCCACGAATTTATCTTGTAAAATTTTATGGACTCGGTAATGTTTCATAACGAAATTTAACACAAATTTTTAATGAAAAGTATCCAAATGTAACTGTAACTCGTAGAGCAGTTTGCAAGCTAATTACAAAATTCGATACCACTAGTGATGTAAAGAATATTAAAAAGAAAAGATTAAAAAAGAATACAATGATAACGATGCTGCTACTGTTGTAGTTATGGACTTTACAAGACAATACAAAGAAGTCACTTGGAAAAAGGTCAGAAAACATAGATATATTAGCAGATCTCATATTCAAAAAAATTTAGTATACAACAAAATCTAGCCATTCAAACTAGTGTTTAATCATAAATTGCTCGATGGAGATGATGGTTGTCGCTTGCACTTTTGTTTAACAATGGGTGCGAAACTGATTGAAAACAGATTCTTTCATCACAATATTTTATTCACCGACTAATCAACATTCACAACTAATGGCGTGGTTTCCTCTCAAATCCTGTAGATACCGGGCTAAAGATGGTAGAACAATTTTGGGGCCAGTTGCCACGTCGTCGGTTTAGGTTTCTTGACGTTTCGAGAGACATATCGTTCTTTTCAAAAACTCGAAAACTTTCAGTGTTACTTTTGAGGAAGAGAGCGATATGTCTCTTGAAATGTCAAGGAACTTAACCCAACGCCATGGCAACCAACCCGGAAATTGTTCTACCAGGCTATTTTTATATTTTTAAAATAAAAGTTTACTTATTTTTAAAATTTCTGTCTGCTTTAAGTAGGATAGTTAAAAATGGCATCTTTTCATTTGCAAAACAACTTTTATATTTTAGCATTATTATTTAGTACTAATATTATTCTGTTGAGACATGTTCTATAAATTTATAAAAATGTAAATGTAAATGATTTGATAGTATCTGTTAACTTTACTCACTGTAGGTGAAGGCGAGGTAGGAGGACACTGTTGTTGATACATGCCCGTCATCCCTTGCAATTGCGTGAATTCGGTACCATCCACTAAGTTAACTACATTTTTATCTAATGGGATATTCTGAAAAGTGCAAAATCAAATATATTCAATTAAAATCATTAAGACCGTAGCATTATTTAAAAGAAAACTGTTGTACATTTCTCATGCATATCTGGAAAAATGTAGTAATAATTTTTTTCATATTTAAATATTTCACTTGATGCATTTTCATAAAAGTACTAAAAATTTATAGAAATTTAAATATTGTTTCATTTACTTGTAAAATAAAAAAGGTACATACAATTCTCTACATTAAATAAAAAATATATATACAGGGTGATCCATTAACGGTATCGAACGGCTGTATATAAGAAAACTAGACGTGCTGCGATTACAGAGTAAAAAATTTATTAACAAATACGACCAAAAGAAATTGATTTAAAATATTTTCAAGTTTGTAACTTCACCGCTACGGGGCGCAACTGCCAGTGTTACAGAAAATTGTCAGTTTTTCGAAATTTCGCTTATATTACCTAAGTTGCAAATATATTTTTTAGATACACTGTTAAACCCTTCACAAGTTTTGTCTGAACTTTTTTTTTTGTTATTACCATAGCAACGTCAGGATGAAGGACGCTATCTTGAAATTTTTATATTGTCATAACTTCTAAATGCCCTAATCGATTTCAATAAACGATGGCTCATTTTAATCAACTATTAATAAAATTTATTTTTATGATATAGGAATAAAAATATTATTTTCCTGCACAATGGTAGACGACGCCAATGAGAAAAATTTTGTAATTGTCTCCGTTTAATAAGAAAATTAAATGCAAACATATAGGTTTTTTTTCATGGCTAGATAGACCATTCATTATGGAAAACACAAACCGAAGGTCGATATCTTTTTTCCTTTTCAAGTTATTGCTAAAATAGTGAGATTGTGCTAGAACATCCTGCTTTATTTAGTTCTCTCAAGTAACATCGACATAATCCAAGCCAAAATTAAATTGTAAAACTATACCAATTTTGTCCTTAAAAAGAATTATTCTTATTTTGAAATTTTAGCAAAATTAGTGTTACTTGTGTTGAAAAAGTACTTGTGAACAAGGAAAATGCCTTTTACGAATGTGGAAGCGTACGATATGTTGGTAGTTTATTTTCAATGTTTGAAAAATGCCGTTATAGCTTCAAGAGAATACGCTTTGCGATACCCTCATAGAATACGCTAGTCCAGAGAAGTATTTCAGCGTTTATCCAGAAGCCACTACATTCTGTAAGACGACATCGCCATGCAAGAACGGAAGATAATATTATTAATATGTTGGCTTGTGTCCATGTAAATCCCCAGATAAGTCTAAGGGAATTAGTTAGAGACCTGGGAATTTTATATGGAACACAAGTACTTTTCTCACAGGAAATTTGCACGAAGCTGTCACATACTGTTTGACACAACTTTTTATTTGTCTATCTTCATAGGACAAAGCCTCCTTCCTTATGGAAACAATAATCTTTATAACTACTCAGGTAGGTATCTGGAATTAATAAAAAAATGAAATATTTCAGTTATCAAAAAAATTTCAAAATAAAGCAATAATTATTTTTAAGGGTATATTTTTACAATTTAATTTTGGCTTAGATTATGTCAATGTTATTTAGAGAACTAAATACAGAAGGATGCTCTAGCACAATTTCACTATTTTAGCAAAAACTTGAAAGTGAAAAAAGATATCGACCTCCGGTTTGTGTATTTGTTTTCCATAATGAATGGTCTATCAATACATGAAAAGAAACCTATATCGTTGCATTTAATTTTTTTAGTAAACAGAGGCCATTACAAAACTCTTCTCATTAGCGTCGTCTATCGTTGTGCAGGAAAATAATATTTTTATTTGTATATCATAAATATAAATTTTATTAATAGTTCTTTAAAATGAGCCGTCGTTTCTTGAAATCGATTAAGGCATTTAGAAGTTATGACAATTTAAAAATTTCAAGATAGCTTCCTTCATACTGACGTTGCTATCGTAATAACAAAAAAAAAAGTTCAAACAAAACTTGTGTGAAGGGTTTAACAGTGTATCTAAAAAATGTATTTGCAACTTAGGTTATATAAGCGAAATTTCGAAAAACCGACTATTTTCTGTAACACTATAGCAGTTGCGCCCCCTAGCGGTGAAGTTACAAACTTGAAAATATTTTAAATCAATTTCTTTTGATCGTATTTGTTAATAGATTTTTTACCCCATAATCGTGGCACGTCTAGTTTTCTATATACAGCCGTTCGATACCGTTAATGGATCACCCTGTATATATATCATGCTTCTCAAACAATGTAATTACTATTGTTACGCAAATATGCAAAATAAAAAAAAAGTACAAACCTTCCTAAGGTGTTGATGTTGGTACCTATGTGGAACTGATAAATGATTCTGCAACAATGTTATAAAAACCATGCAAAATAATCTCAAAAATTAAAAGAACAAAACGTGCAAAAAAATACAACAGAAAACACAGAAAGCAAAAAATAAGCTCTCAGCAGCTATTCCAAAAACTTCACACATAAACGTAATTATGATATTTTTATTCCACATTGTACACCTAAGCAATACATAAAAATTAATTACTTTATGCTGAATTAGTTTTTGGAATTTTATACGTAGCTAATAATCTTACACGAGTTAAAACGTGGGCTAACATACCGAATGTGCATGAGAAACTGGCGTGAATTGAAATCGACCCGATGGTCGCACCCCTTGGGGTATACTTGTGGGAGATAACGTAGATGGACTGGTATTTACAGGACTCTGGAATAGATAACACACTAGATAGGTGTTAAGCGGGACTACATATTTTTAGGATTCTCATAATAAAAATTCATTAGACAGAACAAATTGTACCATTCAAAATAACTAAATAACTGAATCATATAAACATAATTATTTACTATTTTTAACTGATGATATTGTAAAAGACAAATACACTTTGGACTAAAACCACGATCATTATCCCCGATTGAATTATACCCGCAATATCTCAAATAAGAACTAGTTTCAGACATTAGTTCTGATCGGTATGCCATATGCAGAGTAGTTGTTTACCACAATACCATAAGTTAAAAAATTCTATTTCACAGCTTAGCAGGTAGCTCTCTGCCAGTAGATATAAAGTAATGTTTTATGCCAGTAAGCATTGCCTAGCAGTGACAGTAACCACTCATAATTCAAAGGTAACACCTGCATTGTTTGTAAGTCACAGGGAGATAAAATTTTACTTTTGAAATGGTTTTACATTAATATCTAAGAACCAACTTGAGGAGATTCAAATTTATTACAAGATATAAAGGACTGGGAAGCAATAAATATCATATTTACATAATTTGAAAGGTAGTAAGCTAATTCAAAGAACTTTCCTAAAAATCCTATCTAAAATCAAACAATTTTCTTCAACACTAAAAATCTAAGTACCTATGCAGAGATATTTAACCTCATGTAGGTACAAAATTCTTAACTGATGATATTGCAGGAAACGACTACTCTACGGACTACACGTCCTGACTAGCATTGAATTACACTAGAATACCTACTAAAGAGCTAGTAATCAATCTACAATATAAATTAAAAATGATTTGTCTAAATATTATTAATTAAATACACTTATACTATGATATGAAAATACATTATTTGACTTCATTTGATGATAGGATGTTTATGAAAAATTTTTCAATATTTGAATTAACTTAATACCTTCAAAATTAAGTGCAAGAGCCGTAAATAAAATATATACATAAAACACACCACAGAAATGCTGCATCAATGGCGTACGGAAAATGTGTAACCTCCACAACAACTGAATTTCTGAATGATCTCTCAAAAAATGCTTTATCAATTAGTCTCAAATTTATTAAATTTTTAGTTAGAGAAAATTTGTAACTGTATATTTGGGAAATGAAAAATTGTAGCATCTATATATATATATCAATTCCTTTTGTTCCTTTAAAGAAAAGGATCAATCCTAAGTTTTCAGGATATAAATTTTTCAGAGCAGCAAATGGAATTCCTTTTTTACTCAGAATCTTAGGATTTTAAGAGAAGTTCACGGAAGATACATATTTTTTTATGGAATTGATAAATAATTTAGAAATTCTGTCGTTTTCCTTAAAAGATCCATGGCAGAGAAAATATTTTCAAATATCCTCTAACGCCACGGGATCTGAAAATAAAATGTTTTAACATAATTTTTATTGCATCCTGCACGCTTACAAAAAAAAAACCATAACAAACGTAAGACTTTAAAATCCTACAACCTTTAAATGATGTTTGAACTAAGTCAAGATGAATTAAATTCAACTGTTTTAACGTCAGGAAACTGTGGTTACTGTATGATGACTATTTTCTGGGTCACCCATAACATAAACAGTTTTGAACACATATCCAATGTGTGATAGAAAATATAATAAGTAGCGTTTATTTACCTTTTCTAGGCTTTCCAAGTATTACAAAAATTTTTTTAAGGTTTGACATAACATTATGAAATGAAATAATGTACGATACATTTTCTCTTATTATCTAACAGCATTTTTGACTTATTGGCACTTTTGCACTCAATCTGAAATGAAAATATTTTTATAGTAGAGGACAAAGATATACTCAGTGCGAAAGTGCAAGCAAGTCAAAATGCTGTAACATTTTATTAACCACTCACTGCCTTCTGTGACAATCTGTCACTTTCCATTCATCCAAGTCTATTTAACTACACAGAATTTGAACAATTAAGGACGTTCGGTAGAGATAGCAGGGGGAAACATTTGTGGGGCAAGGGGAAACTAGCGATGAGTGAAGACTTGACAACGCCGTACGGGTCTTCAATGTGTGAGTGTTCCTGTACACGCATCAGGTGATAAAGCTGTAAGTATTTGACTTTTATTTGTTATAAAAATGTAATAAAAATGAATAAATAAATAATTAAAAAGACTTGTGACAATTGTATTTATATTCGTAGATTTCATTCGTAAAAATGCCCAAAGCCAAACAGTATAACCTCCAAACTACGAAGAATGAGAAAGGAACTTTCAAAAAAGGTGTTTTCCGTGAAAGATGTACTTGTAAAAATTCAAAAAATCGGCGAAATTCAGTAGGCCAATTTTCTTAAAACCGAGTTTTTATCAGTTTTTCCATAAGCAACCGTGTTAAAATGACTGAATTTTGAAATTCAATATCTCGAAAACGAAACAGATGAACCTCTTGAAATTTTGACAGGTTTATTGTAACAATAAGAACGTCTGGTCAAAATTTCAAAAAAATTCATTGGAGGGTTTTATCTCTACCGAACGTCCTTAAAATGTGTAGCTTTTCAACCCACATAAAAACAAATGCAAACGATCCTAATTCCAAAAAGCGTTTTTTAAGTAGGTACTTACAGAACTATAGGGAGAACTATCGTGATCTTGATCGAGAGGTGCGTGTATTGGAGATGAAAAATCGACATTTGTCAAGTCGGGTAGAGAACCTGTATTATTACCGATAGGTATTTGTATCATACTAGAGTCGTGTATTGAGGTGTGTATGCTGAAAATTGATAAAACATATCGATTAGGACAAGATGATTTCGTTATAAAATGTGAACGTTACCTGATGCCAGGTACTCGAGAAGGTATGTCACAACTTGATTTCGGTCGTCCATCAAGGTGCCTATCTGGACCATTCATTATGGGTATATTCCAGCCTCTGTTGGAGCCGTCATTATTTCTATCAACCATACCCTAAAAGACAAAAAATTCCTTCATCAGGGTGTATACTAAATTTTGATTTCTCATATGACACAGCACATTTTAAAAATTTCACTATTTCTAGTGAATATCTCCCACGTAAAATATTTAACTAATTGTAAGCTTGATTATTATGAAATTATGCATGGCCGTGGTAAAATTTGCACCAAATACAAAAATTTTTTTCTTCAAACAATTTTTGCCTGTCTGCATATCAAATAAGGGCAAATATAGATATACATACAAGATTTTTTATTTAGAAAAATTTTACATTTTAATCAGCTAAAATTAAAAGAAAATAAATTTTTGAAAAACGTGGAATTTTCAGCTAAATTCAAATAGTGTTAATTGATAATATTACACAAAATCAGCAAATATTAAATTAAATTATTAAGAAGTTAAAAATAAAAGTACTTCCTTAAAAATAAATCAAAAACTGATTGATATTTTTCAATTATTTCTTTAATATTGTCTTTATTTCAGAAGCTAGTTGAATTTAGCAATAAATCCTCATGTACATATTTTTTAAAATATAAGTATTTTTCTTTAATTTTAAAATAAAATAAATAATGGAATTTTCTCTAAATTCCAAATTGGTCAATTACCAAAGTAAAGTTTATTTAGTATTCAGACATGAATATTCTTTTTTACTAATATCGTGTAAAAGCCACATTGTAAAAATTTAGTCAGTTTATTAAACTCCACAAATTTTCTTTTTAAAAACATTAAAGACTTCCTAACTAAACATCAGTTGATTAACGTATATTATGCTCAAATAGAATCTCGAATACGATATGGAATTTGTTTATGGGGTGACTCCACCTTATCGCAGGCTGTTTTTGTTTCACAAAAACGTGTGATTAAAACAATTATTGCCGGTGTTCCAAGTACACGATCTTGCAGAACCCTTTTTGTTGATTTTGGTCTCATGACTGTTGCCTCATTATATATTTTAGAAATGTGTATTTACGTTTATAAGAATAAAACAAAGTTTAAAACAAATAGTGATATTCATCACTTAAATACGAGACAGAAGCATCGATTCCATCTGCCCTACACAAAATATGCTGCTATATCGAAATCACCTGATCATATTGGCTTAAGGATTTTTAATAACTTGCCCGGTAACATTAAGCGTTGTAATAACTTGAATATCTTTAAATATACACTAAAAATTTTTTTAATAAAGAAATGTTTTTATTCTCTTTCCGAATTTTATCAATTGTAGTACAATTTACTTTGTTATGTTTGCATTTTATATGTGTGTGTATATCTATATTTGTATTTTTGTATGGGCCACTGTTGTCCATCACATTGACTATTGCTATACATTCATGTAATGTCATATAAGCAAAATAAACTAAATCAATAAATAAATAAATAAATAAAAATATTTTTGCAGTTGGGTAAATTTTTAAGTCATATTTATATAAGTAAAGTTTGGCAGGTAAAATTAATGTTTTAAACTGATATTTGCTGTCGCGCTAATTCGTAACGTTCTTAAATTAGGTTGCGTCCAATCAGCATGGGAATGGTTATGTTCTCGGTCACACTAAATGACGTCACAACGCGTTCTTGAGCACGTAACGCAGTTTGAATTTTTACATATTTTTAAGCATTGTAGCATTAAATGAATTCCGTTACAGAATACAAATTTACGTAATCTTAAAAAAAAATTCATGCAAGTTGCCTATTACAATTTGATAAACATATAAAACAAACATTGATAACATCTCTGATATTTCCAGGTCTATGAGATTTCATGATGGTGAATTCGGGTCTTCCACATTGGCTTACAACCACACCCTGCTTTTTTCTTACTGAAAACTCCGGTGCAAAGCGGCGACACCAGTGGAATTTAATAAAAATGACAGGCAAACGCATAATACCTGCATTGTAGTTTGGTGTAAAGCTGAATCACTATTTGTCCGTCTCCAACCTGTATCCGTCGGAGGACTTAAATATGTTCCACTAGAATAAGGCGACGTGTCCAGCCTCCGGTCGTGGGGCCTTCGAATGGGACCACCCTGCGATCGGGGTCTACTCCTACTGTCCACTCGATATGCAGGCGCCCTGTTGGCGAGTGGTATTTCATCCTGTAACAAAAACCGATTAATTAAATTTGGTTATTTTAATTTTGCTAAAGATTCACCTAAGTTTTTTGGGGGTACCTACTAAGATTGCATAACAAAACCTACCTATAGAAAGGTAACGTAGAATTTTGTTTTTACCTGTATCGTTTTATAATCTCCATATAGGTAAATTAATGATACTATCACCGTTTGCAGTCGTTTTACCAAGGTGAACTTAATATCTACCTGTTAAATATTCATAAATCCTGTGATAAATGTTTTTATATTTTCTTGACGTGCTAACACGTAGAATTTCCAAATTTTATAAAAATTTTTACATTTAAAATACGTCAAGGTCTCGCAGAACTTGTTGGCAGGTACCTACCCCAGATTACAGACAAATATATACCTACTTACTAAACATGCAAGTTTAATGTCTGGTGCTTGAAGACAAAGGGTTCATTCAACTGACGAAAAATTAAAAATAATTTTTCCTTATCAACTTCATTTCAAATTATAATTTGTCTGTACAGCTCGAGCACTGAAAAATATTTTTACAAACATCTGACCATAGACCACCCCGACATGACAATATATTTCTTTCTTGTTTCATTCGCATTCACGAGAAAATGTTATCGTTAGGAGGATATTAAAACTTCTTTGGATTTAGTGTATTATTAAAAAAACTCGATTTATATTTTCACGGACCTGGTTGTATGTAGCGTGGAAATGGTGCGCTGTTTATTATTCTGTTAGAAATAATAAAAGGATGGCCTGGGTCTCTGTAAAACGTAAAACACGCTCTGTTCCCGATACGGATGCGGATATGTGTCATTTGTTTTCCAGATGTAGAAGGAATATAAATAAATTCTAATAAAATATGTTATCGCTGTTAAGTACATTTCTTTTTGTATTCCCAATAACCCATGCACTAAATTAAATAAAATATAAATACGAAAAAGTAAGGTAGATAATTTAAAGAATTACACAACTATGATGGCAATTAACAGAGAGGGGGTGAAAACGGTTTAATATTCAGAAACAGAATACAATTTTATCCTCGGAATTACATATTACATACCTAAACCATCTCAATGAAGGCTTACTGTGTTAACTCTTTTTCGAGAAAGTCAACCGATTATTCCAGAAGCAATGTGAAATTCGAATCCTGCCAGTCAAGGATCAAAGCAAATAAAAGTAAAATTATTGTAAAAACAATTTGTTTCAAAATAGTTGTAGGAAAAATAAACCAACATTCAACATAAAAACCGGTTAGGAAATCTGCAGCTTATTTAAGAATGATGAATAGCTGGCAGGGCAAAAATAATATACACAATGAAGTCACATGTGCTGCATTAATGTGGTGCCCGAACGTATATGTAAAAAGGGGAAGTGTTAATTTCGTCAAACAACTAATTACCATTGAACATGACATATTGGGAATCTTCAAAAACGCCGTGGCCATTTCAAACTTACAGAATTAACATTTCGCATTTCTTTTAGTGGAAAAATTACGCTTTATTTGTTGAAAGGCCGCAGATCGATTACTAAAAACACGAAAAAATAGGTAGTTCATGAAATTTTTTCAAGATAAATTCAAGGTCGGCAAATATTATTTTCCGGATTCTTTACAAACTTTAAAGGTAAGGAAGGAGTATTAATAGCAGCATAGCTTTGCTTATAAAACAGGTACAATCAAAACCGATGCCATTCAACAGTAAATCACACGTCGTCACAGTGGCGCACCTAAAAAAAGTTTGGAGAGAGAGAGCACAGAATCAAAAACAGGTGAAAACGGTTTATATGTAAATTTACCAAAATTTTCATTTGTTTATTTAAAAATTAATTAAAAAATATGATAAGTTAACTTTTTTATATTTTTTATTAAAACGTAAACATTAAGTCCTGAAAATTTCATTAAAATATCTTTAATGGTTTTTACACAATTAATTTTTTAATATAAAGTTCCGAAAATGTTTAGTGCAAAAAAAATTGTCAAAACGAAACTCGAAACGATAATTTTGAAAGGGTATGACTGTTGGTAATGACTACTTTTGATTAAATTATATGAACTCAAATTCCATGATCAGGTGGAAAATGACGGGTTCGCTTGATGCGATATGGCTGCTATACATTTAATCAAAAAAAATATTTGTCCATGGTCTTCCCTGTACATAGATAGTATAGGTATTTTTTACAGGATTTCAAATGAAAGGAAAAACATAACCAACCTTTGAAGAGAATTTTATTTTCAATGGTTTCTAAAACGCCTATATTAATTTAGCAAATTGCAACACCACCAATACTCGCTATCAGCATCAGCAAAATGAGCAATTACCCCGAACGATATACACTTAATGCAAAGTAAATACTTAAATATTGTTAAACCGCTGTTATCATAAGTAAGCTTTTACACTGATAACGATGTAATTTCTGGTGAAATCTGTTGGAAATCATGAATGGAACACAAAAAAACCACATTCAAACAGTCTAACTTCGTGAACTTTTTCACTGCTGATGGCATTTTAATGTTTAAAACATAAATAAATGTAATGGCTTGGTGCCAAATAACAGGCTAACTTTTATATGTGTGTAAGGTGGGCCAAATTTGACACTTTATGAGGTTTCTTCTTTTTCCTGAAGTAATAGAAAAAAAGTAAAAGTACAACCTGTGTAAAGATGTTCTTTACATAACGCAAATATTTCCACCAATAAAAAAGTTATAGGGCATCATCGAAAACGACCAAATTGAAAAACCCCTATCTCTTAAATGTCAAGTTGCGATTTTTGCCATCGAACCACATTTTTTCTATCTTTTCGGGTAATATAAGGAAACCCCCAGAAGTGTCGAATTCGGCCCACCCTATACAAAACAAATTTGAATTGTTGTGAAAAAGATTAAATCTTGTTGAGAATATCAATTAAATAATCTCGTACAAAACCGAACTGAGCTCAACTGGTTCATTCTATTTCATGTATAATTTTTCCACCAAACTTCAAACATTGCCGTCTCTAAAGTTTTAAGTGTTCTTGATTCAATTTTACATTTAGCTACATAATGTAAACCGCGTTTTAAATTTAGAAACACCAATAGAATAGGTAGTATGTCATGTCCTCAGTACGAAAAATAATCAATATAAAATACTTCACAACTGAGAAACCACAATTGATTTATCGGGATAGTTTTTACATTTTTTTATATGCCTTCAAGTTGAATATTTAGTCCACGGGCTCTGTGAAAGTGATAGTGCCATTAAAAATTATAATTGAATATCTACCTAGTTACATAAATTTGTAATACCTCTTCGTGTAAAACAAGTTTCATCAGTAAAGAAAATTTTCTTTAGAAAATTAATGCCTTGATGTAAAATAAACTGACAATTCACTCGTTTAACTAAATCATTCAGTAACAATTCTTGCACTTTTTGGACATGATTTAGTAGATTACGTCTGATCACTCGGTGCACAGTTTACGATATACCAGTTTGTCGAGATAGAATTCTAGTAGATAGTATTCTAGAATGTGGGTATTGCAATAGCACATTCTCGAATGTTACTAAAAAACTTGCCTGTTTCGCGAGTTCGCTAAATGAAAACTTAACGGACATTTTCAAAACACACGGCAAACATATTAAAAATTGAGTTTGACGTTTAAATTCGTAGACAATTGTTGAATTTTCGATGATTCTAAATAACAGCTATAATACGTAACATTAGTTATTGGTGTTTTTTTTTTTTTTGAAAACTAACAAGAGTAAGAAAAGTTTTAGAATTAAATTCCCCATATAATAAAGTAATATTTTTTTAAGTCCGCCAACGGGTTAGGGATGCAGCTTAGTATAAAGGTAAGTTGCGTTAAATCTACATATTTTGGGTTCCCTACATGCCCCTGCTCTGTGTCGGTTCTTATGCGAAACACCCTGTATATAGAGAAGGTAGCAGGTACTCATTTGCGTGCATGTTCATTTCCTCTAGAAGAAAAATGTACGCATACACTAAGCATAATTTACAGTAAAAAAATTAGATTATACTAACCAACTCTACATATACAAAATAATTCAACCAATCGACTGCACAAAACATAAAACTATCAGTTATTTTCCCTGTTTCAATTTTCTGCAATCAATCGAGCCATATAGCGAAAGAATAAAACTACAAAAAATAAACACAACGAATTCCGTCCACAAAACTACTCCATAAAAGGAATGAAATAAATGACGAATAATCGGACAACAAAAAAGGGGATATATGAAGCCGCTAAGAATGAAAAAATCGTGACACAGCAAACGAAGAAAATATATACATGTATAATTTTTGAGCCGTTATTTTATTTTTTTATGTAGATACATATGGAGACACCACTCGTACATCCAAAATGAAGCGAGTGTTAGCACATGTTATGGTTGCAGACATAAGTAATATTAGGAATTTATATGACAAGTAATGTCTTGGGCAAAGTAGCATTATTTTTTTCTCTGAATGAAATACGTTAAAATTAATGGTTTCACTATACTTCATATGTAAAACAGAGAAAGAATCTATATGTAGGTACATTGTTTTCCACATAAAATATAAATATGTACCTATTAAAGTGGTTTTAGAACATACAAAAAAGGTAGAATGGCCAGTACGATTTTTTTCTTTGCAGTGCTGGAGCAGATATTACCTACAATGCAGAGAAAAATGCGTAAAACAAAAAAGGAGCTATTTTTATTGTTGTTAGACGAAGTAAACATGTACAACGTTGCCAAATTGTTTAGTTTTCACCGCTGAAGTGGTGATCGTTCTTCTGAGCACTGGGCAACAACACTCAGACTCTGTTTACAGGATTTGAGCGAGGTTTGTAATCGAAGCGGAGCCACTGCCAACATTGTATAATGTATTGTAAGAAAATTGGAAAGTACATATAATGTTTTATTTACCAATAATGTGAAATGACGTGCAGGATTATCATCGCAGAAATCTTTCTAAAGTAGGTACGTAATTCCTTTGGATACCTAGTCATTAGTTAATAAAGTGTTATT